CCTATAGATGTCCTCTGTGCTTTTATGTTGCTTCTGTGAATAGAATGGGAAGACATAACCCCTTAAATATCCTGGTCCCAAATTTATCTGGAAAGAAGTAAAGAGGATAAAGCAGTGACACAGAATGTTTCTGATCCCTGTTAGCAATTTATATATATACCCCATGTAGAAATAGGAAGTTACTAGAAAATGGATGAGTGAACCATTGATATTTGTGTTCAGGCAGATCTATTACTGACATACAAGTCTAAATTGTTTTGGGTTTTTTTAATGCAGAAACTATTTCTGATTTTAATCATCAAGATGAATCTGTGAGCTTCCCAAATTAAAAATACTGTTCTTGAAGGCAAGTTCAATCCTTAAAGATATTAAAGGCTTTCCCAATCATTCAAATAAAAATAGGTTGTGCATTTGTTTGTTTTGTGTGTTTTTTGCATGTTTATTTAGGTACCACAGCAAATAGAGGGCAGTGTGTGTGTGCATATGCACATATAAATGTGTGTGATGTGTATGTATGTTTGTATGTAGGATGGATGGATTGATAGAGAGACAGACAGACGGACAGATGCAGGGGTAAAATTCAGCAGGTTCTGACAGGTTCTGGAGAACCGGTAGTGAAAATTTTGAGTAGTTCAGAGAACCGACAAATACCACCTCTGATTGGTCCCAGAGTGGGGTGGTAGAATCCTTCCCCTGCCACGCCCACCAAGCCATGCCCACAGAACTGGTAGTAAAAAAAAATGAGTTTCCACTGGATAGATACCATATGCAAACTATAAGGTCTGCAATAGAAATCTCCCTGCTAGTAAGATCATTTTGCCCAGACCAAAACTAGGCTCTCCATATTTTGCACAATCACCTTAAAACATTTTTCTTATTCTTCCTTTGTAACTGAGTCCTGGAAAATTAATGTAAATTTCAACATTAATTAATTAATGTTCCCTCATGCACAGAATCTCACGTGGCTTTCTTTTCTCTTTGAAGCTCAGGGGGGAATGTTCATTATCTCGATCTGTCTTGCTTGCCATTTCATACTAAGCTTATCAATACTCCTTTGACTCTGTCTTTTCTTCCCTCTTTTTCAAATGAGTTGAAAAGAGCATAATCAAATTAGGAAATAATAATGAGGCAACAAGTACCGTGGGCTTCATCTGACAAGATAAATTCTCCAAAGGGCAGCTGGATGTATGAGTGATGAGAAGACAGGATTGAGCATCATGGGGAGCAAATCAACTCTAATGATAATTGTTCTATGAAATGACAAAATTAGGATTCTGACTCTGCGTGTCAACAAAAGAAGAAAAGGAGTAAAATGAGAAAATATGCAGCAATTACATTGTTGGTTGCTCTGGTCCTGTGAGTTGTTTGGGGTATTTGTTTTAATATTGTGGTCCTTGCTTCTGAAAAGATGCTGACCACTGCCAAAGAGGCTTCTGGGAATGTTTCCTGGAAATAAGCAGTATGAGCAGAAGTAATACTAGGCTTAGCTTCCACCTAACCCCTGGAAAACAAAACCGCAGAATCCAAAGCTCTGCAGCATTGGCTCTGTACAGGTAGTCCTTGACTTATAACAGTTCATTTAATGACCGTTCAAAGTTACAACNTCTTGATGTGGGCAGTGATAGGAGAAACTTTGCATCACAAGTATCTGACCTTGATGTTTTGCAAGCTGCATAGACTGCTCCTTGGCTTCCTGATGTAATTCAAGGTGTGGGCATCGTACTCACAGGCTTCCCAGAATCATTTGAAAATCTGTAAGTCCCCCTGCGAGTGAGATGGATGGTTTGAAAATGTGATAAAGTAAAATAAAATAATTCATCCAAAGAGATAGTAGATGAAATGTAAGATTTTGGACCAAAGTATGAGGAAGTATGTTCAACAGGAAGATTCTTGTGGTTAAAATGATTGAGGGCAGTATGACATGTAAAAGCTACAGTTGTCTAACTTGTCAGTGGCTTGCCTCTCAAACTAATTCTAGCAATGGAAAAAAACAAAGTTTTTATCAGTTTTAAACAAGTGCTTTGTCAAATTAATGCTTCGTAATCTCATCAAACCAATAAATTTGAAGAGAGAATCTAGATAAGGAACTGTGAAATTCTGTGCCACATATATATTGCAGAATGTAATTGTCTCTTAGTGTTAACATTACATTATCATTGATATCTTTCTAGTGGGAAGAACAAGAACAAATTTAGAATCCTTTATTATGGTTTTTTTAAAGCACTTGATTTTCATCAGCTCATGAATAAATGATGCTTAAGATGCTGTTGTGACTAATGCTAGATCTTTAGATCAAGCGACATTGTTTCCAGTGTTATTAATCCCTACAATTTTAGAAGAATTTAAGCAAAGATCATTTATTCCTTCATTGGCAGAATATATAGGTTGACCTATTTCTTTTTAAAAAGTAAGATCAGCTTGCAACAACAAACAAGTTGGGCAGCTATGACAATTTGGCAACAAGAATACAGGTAGTGCTTGACTTACAACAGTTTGTTTAGTAACGTTTGAAGCTACCCTGAAAAAAGTGACATTTTAAATACTTATGCATATTGCAGCATTCACTTGGTCACATGATCAAAATTAAGACGCTTGGCAACTGATTCATATTTTTGATGGCTGCTGTGTCCCAGGGTCATGTGATCACTTTTTGCAACCTTCCAACAAGTAAAGTCAATGAAGGATCCAGACTTATTTAACAATTATGTTGCTAACTTAACAACTGCCGCAATTCACTTAACAACTGTGGCAAGAAGGTCATAAAAGGAGGCAAAAGTCACTTAATTTTACGAGCCGAGGTGACGCAGTGGTTAAATGCAGCACTGCAGGCTACTTCAGCTGACTGCAGTTCTGCAGTTCGGCTGTTCAAATCTCACCGGCTCAGGGTTGACTCANGGTCTTTTTTATTACTAGCATGGTGTGGTTCACATTCTTGCACAGAATAATTATTGGACAAGATATAAGAAGCTAAGGGGCATCATTTTAGTCCTTTGAAATAACTTGTGGTGTGCCATTATCATATCAGGGACAAAGAGGCTATGGTGGTCTGTCATGGGTATAAGCAATTTTGGGGTGTATTGACTAGTAACATGGGAATGAGAAAGAGACTGTCTAGAAGGTCAGCTGTAGATTTGGAGTTAATTAGACTTTGCTGGTGATTTGGTAATTAGCTATTTGTCAATCAGTGACATAGTGCAACACCAATGGAGGAGAGGAATGTTAAAAAAACAAATCAACTCCAAGGGCCAAATATTCTTGATTTACCACTGAGTGGTTTGATAGAAGGAAACACATTAATTGATTTAAAAGATGGATGTCTAGCTGCTACTATTCAAGACATGCTGTTGGCATAGCATGAAAAATGTCTTTCTTATGAAAAATGTAACTTACAAATCTGTGTTCCACTCATATGATAACCTGAAGCTGACATTTACTTGTATTGGGCTTTGTGGAAAAAGAAGAATTTTCTTCTTTCTACTCAGTGTGTTTTTGCCCCAGTATTGAAAGGCAAACATCTGTGTCACATAACTAAGAAACTACTATGTTAACTCTTGGGGCTAAACCGAACCTTTTGTTAAATTTGTCATCAAAGAGCAAATTGTCTCCTTTTGGGGGCAAGAAGCAGAGGGTGATTATTTATCCCTGGCTCCCATATTCTAACATTCTTGGTTATGAGTAATGTCCACATGTTGTCTTTGTTTCTTTTCCTATGCTTGGAAAAATTTGTGCTTACTGATGATGTTGGCTACTTATGGAGATAATTTTCAGATGGTTTTCCTTTGGGTGCTTCATATACATAAAACACTAACACTAAAGATTATCTCAATTCCTACCTCTGGTTTATTTCCTATAAGCGCCTCTATGGGTTCCTTCAAAGCTCTTCAAATGTTACAAATGCTTTCTGGTATGGAACTAATAAAAGCTGTGCTCACTCATTTCTATGGAAGCTCAGGCAGTCTTCTTTGATTTGCAATTCAGGAAAAACTGCTCTTAGGATCCCCATGAAGGCTATTGCCTGTTATGCATCTAGCAGAACAGAGATGCAATAAATGATTGAAAGCTGGCCAGAGGGAGGAAACTGCTTTGCCTGGTAGATATAAACAAGTTTACTGAATCTGTGTTTTTGAAGCCTGCATTGTCTCTTCCAACTGGCCGGTGTGATGCCAGAGTGGGGAGTGGGGGAAGGAGCTTGTCATCTTTAGACATTTCCATTTCTGGAAAGGAAAGTTCCCTCTGGTGTTCTCTGGCAGGAGGCTATGATTTCCCTGTATCTCATAAGAAGCAGCAAATCATCGGAAAATGTTTTGAAGGTAATGTTGACCCCAAGATTATATGAAGAGTATAGCAATTACAAACTTATATAGCAATCATAACCTTATTTATGCTGCCCAGAGTCATAGGAAATCAGGCATCATACAAATTAAACAAACAAATACATTTATTTCTTTTGATTTATTGTAAGTGCCCACTCCAGCAGTTTTGACAGCTTACATATAATACAATGCTGAAACAATTAAAAATGCAGACAAAAGAAAACAGTCTCCACTAATAACCTATCTGCTATAAAAGCTTGTAATGTATATTTTGATAATCTTATTAGATTTTAAACTGAAGTAATATCTCTTCTTTGTATTCTGAATGCTTGTGCTTTGTCAATTTGGGACTTCAGGCATTATGGGTTGTAGTATGCAGACTGAATACAAACAAGGAAGTTGGAATATGTGATCTACCTAACCACTAATCTTTTAAGGACCTGTTCTTGTACCCTGAGGAGGAATCCCAAGATATGGTGGCAGAGTGAGTTGTTTAAAATCATGTATTCAGAAATAAACAAGATTGTTAAGTTTGTATTCTGAAGTGGGGAAAAAAAGAGAGAATTCAAACGTTGTACCCATTATTGCTATTACTTAGCTTCTCTGAAGTACACAGTTGCCTCTGCCTTGCCAGTCTATATTTCTCTTGCAAATTAATCTAATGCTATTCTTTTCTTTCTCTTCAAGGATGATTCCAGCTACAAATAAAGCATTCGTGGTGAACAACCTGGTTTCTGGAACAGGCTATGATCTTTGTGTTCTGGCCCTGTGGGATGACACTGCCACAACGCTCACTGCTACCAACATTGTAGGCTGTGCCCAGTTCTACACCAAAGAGGACTATCCCCAGTGCCAGTCCATGCACAGCCAGTTTCTGGGTGGGACCATGATTTTAATCATTGGAGGCATCATTGTGGCTACTCTGCTGGTATTTATCATCATACTGATGGTGCGGTACAAGATTTGCAACAACAATCCTGGCAAGATGGCCAATGTTAGCAATGTCTATTCTCAAACCAATGGATCTCAACCTGTCCAGAACGGAGTCCTGCCACAAGTGAATCCCAAAGTTGTGGTAAAGAATGAACTCATGGAGTTTAACTGTGAGTCAGCACACAGCAGCATCTCTTCTTCCTCTAGTTCCATGAACAGCCGTGACTGTGATGGTTATAGCCTCCAAAGTGAGCAGGGCACATTGTCCAGTAAATGGAGGCCCCCGTCAAGATCAAAGCATCACAATATTGATCGGCTCATGGGAGCTTTTGCCTCTCTGGACCTGAAGTGTCAGAAAAAGGAGGAAACAATAGACTCAAGAACTTCCATAGTGGTCCGTCACTCAGACAAGGAGCCACTTTTGGGTCAGCAGGAATCCAAATTTCGCAGCCTCCTCATGTTGCCACTGGAGGGTAAAACTAAACGTAGCCATTCTTTTGACATGGGGGACTTTTCCACTTCTCAGTGTTACAACTACCCCAAAAAGATCACAAACATTTGGACAAAACGTAGTTTGTCAGTGAATGGTATGCTTTTACAGTACAATGACAGTGACCTGACAGAATCAAAAGGAACTTATGGGAGCTCTGAGTGGGTCATGGAAAGCACAGTGTAAATAGAAATTGCCCTCCATTCCATTCTTAGTCCTACCAAACATAACTAAATCCATGAGTTCAAAAGGCCATAAATGTGATAGAAGGAAAACAAACCACACACAGACACACACATTCAGCCACATATTGGTCAATAAATATTAATATAAAGAATTCAAGTGGAGTAAAAGAAGTGATGAGGTTTATAGGATGTGTGCATGTGTGTAAGGAGATGGTGATATGCCCTCAACATATTATTTATATCTTTGTGAATGTCTCAAGGAATTCACTGGAAACATTCAGTGCTATCCCGATTTCCCAGTGAACTGTGTAACAAAATTGAAAGAGGATTAATGCTGGTTAAGAAGTGTCTATTAACTCTTAGGATAATTGTGTTTGTCTTCATTTTCTCATTGTCTGAGGTGAACATTTCAGTGGACACAAAACTAACAGGAGAATAATCTCAGCTGCCACTACATAACCAACATATCTGGGAAAAGAAACCCTGAACACACAAATTAACATTAAAATTAAAAGCAACATTTTGAAAAGATCTTGTCATTGTTTGCCTGAAGATTCTCTTCTCTCCAGAAAAAAAAATCCAACAATCCATATTCACAGCCTTTCTTTCCCTTGTTATAACTTTAAAAAAAATAAAATCTAATAATTAATTATTAATAATTGAGATGCTATCTTAGTTCTCAGTATTTTTTATTCACCAACAAATGGCCATCGGTTATTAAGAATATAAGGGAGTTTAGTGTCAAGGCAGAAGAGAGAAATTTAGTTTTTATAACCTGGGGGAGAAAGGAGAAAAATGTTCCTCATTCTGACCAAGATTCTAAAATCACTATTTAATCAACAAAAAAGAAAAATCCGACTCACAAATATTAGAAGAGGGAGGGAGATCCATGCCTTCATATCAAATACCACAAATTGGCATATCATCATGTCAGTCAAAAGAAGGGCATGAAATCTCTAGCATCACATGAAACTCCAAGTTTGATTATGAGAATATTCCTCATGAGCTCTGGAAAATGCAGTGTAGACTAGGAGGGGTCCAGATTCAACAGTGCTATATAGTCTCTCTTTGTCCCAAATCATGTTCACATACTTGTCTTTCTTGTTGAAACCTTTATCCATTTGAGGCTACCCATTATGCCTTTTTAAGTGATAATCAAACACATTTATGGATCTGGAAGAGCTGTGAATGCACAAATTTTGTTCTCCCAAAGCACTACTCCATGGCAGAAGTGAAATGTTGGCCTTTAGAGCCACAGCCTATTCAGAATCGTTTAATGTATTTATTTGCTCCCAAAGATTTGTCCATTGGGGAGCTCTTTCTGAAATTGCACACTATTTATTTTTTTTCAAAGGGTCTGTGCTGAAAAGAATTGTAAAACAGCAAAGCGAACACTCATATACAATCTCAGTTTTTGTTTTTAAGAAAAGCTCAACTCAGAGATATATTGTGACATGGCTATGTATTTGATCCTGTTATCTGTCATGTTTCCTATTTGAAGTTTTAGAAAATGGCATCCCTGTGATCAAAATATTTTCTTTCCCCTTCCTCTTTTGCTACAAAATGTACAGTAAAAACAACTTATTGGGAAAAATGAACCTTTCTTTTATTCATTATTTCAATGGTCTATTCTGAATGCTGGAATGAATTTTTGTTTTCTTAGAAAAAAGAAATGATCATTCAACCTGTTCATTCTAGGTAGTAGAAGCAGATAATTTTTATCAATTAAACATTATGGCTGTAAATATCACCAGCAACACAAAAGTAAGGGGTTTTGTTTTCTAGTAAGAGGTGTACATGTGTATTACACTTTCCTTGAAATTGCCAATATCCACATATTCTATGTATCGCATAACACACATTCTCTGTAAAATGTTTTCTCAGTATCTTCAGTCCTACTGTTCATCAGCTTCTAATTGAAATAACTGAGGTTAAGTTACAGAACTGTACAAATTGGGTGAATTATGAAAATCAACTAGAAAATAGGTTATGGTTCTTACTGAATAGGCAAAAATGATTACTAATCTTAGGAGCTGTGGTGGCACAGTGGTTAGAATACAGCATGGCAAGCTAGCTCACTGATCACTGCCAAGGGTTCAATTCTCACTGGCTCAAGGTTTCCTCAGCCTTCCATACTTTTGAACTCAGTAAAATGAGGACCCAAATTGTTGGGGAAAATATGCTGACTCTGTAAACCGCTTAGAGGGAGCTGAAAAGCACTATGAAGCAGTATATAAGTCTAAGTGCTAAGTACTACAGCTATTTTGAAATGTTTTAAGATAAGTGGTGTAGGGTTTCCTGCCTAAGCAGAAGGTTGGACTAGAAGTCCTTCAAGGTCCCTTCCAACTCTGTTATTCTAAAAAAAAAAGTGGTGCAGCATTGAACATAAGAAAGTTTCAAATATTCAGAAAAGTCTCTCAGCAAGGCAAACTCATAATATTTTAAGTACAAACAGCTTTGATTGTCTGCTGCCCTTTCAAGGTGCTAATTTGCCAAGTTCCAGAAACTCCAACTACATGACTAAAGCTGGCTCGGGACACGGAAAACAATTATTTCAACACGGCAGCACCCAAGGTTGGAAATTCCAATCTAGATCATGTTAATTAACAATAATTATTACATGAAGTCAACATAAATGAGTCAATATGCCTCAAGGCTGAGGCTAGCATAGCTTGGTTGTAAAAATGTCACACCTGATTTTATGACCTTTTTTGCCACAGTTGTTGAGTGAATCACTGCAGTTTTCACTGAGTCACATGCTTGTTAAGCAAATCTAGCTTTCCCCATTGACTTTGCTTGTTGGAAGCCAGCTGGGAAGGTCACAAATGGGAATCCACAACATCAGGATTACTAGATTACTGTAACTCATAAATACATACTGGTGGCCAAGTGCTCAAATATAAATGTGAGGACTGGTCATGTTCCATTTTTCAGTGCTGTTGTAACTTTAAAGGTCACTAATGAATGATTATACTTTAATGAGTAGGCTTCTTAAAGTAGTAACACTTTTTTTCAATCAATCAGAATGGAGCTGGAAGGGACCTTGGATGTCCTCTAGTCCAACCACATGCTCAAGCAGTAAACCCTATACCATTTTAGTTAAGTGACTGTCCAGTCTGTTCTTTAAAAACCTCCAGTGATGAAGTACCTACAGCTTCTGATAGCAAGCTGTTCTACTGGTTAATTGTCCTCACAATTAAAAGAAGTTTCTCCTTAATTTCAAGTTGTTTCTCTCCCTGATTAGTTTTCATCCATTGTTTCTTGTCTTGCCCTCCCTCTGGTGCTTTGTAATAATTT